GGACCACGGTTCAATCCCCCAGCACCACATGTCAGCCAGACCTGCCCCCTTTTATTTATTTATTTGTGAGCCACACATACACAGATAAATAAATAAATAAAAACCCTCTTCTAAGGCCACACATACTGGACCACACCTGTAATTCCAGCATGTGGAAGGCTGAGGTAGGAGGATGGTTGTGTGCTGAAGACCTGCCTGTGCTATAATGTGAGCATATGGCCAGCCTGAACTGCATATCGAGACCCTATGGGTGTGTGTGTGTGGGATGCCTCTTCCAGACTCAGACCTTGAGAGCTAATATATTCTCCAGTTCCTGTCTCATTCACCCTTCCTATCCTTACACAAGACTTCTATTTTTTTTTTTCATAGTACTTTTTTTTGTTACAGGGTTTTGCTATGAAGTTCAGACTTGTAGGGATCCTACTGTCTCAGCCTCCCCTGCACTGGGATTACAAACATGTGCCATACACCCACTTTCAGAGTAGCAACGAGCTTTCCCGGCAACCACGCAAGCACTTAGACCACTGAGCTATCACTCCAGCCCCACAAAGTACTTTCTTACGTGAAGTCATGTGTAGCCTTTGCAAGACTACATTTTGGCCTCCTTTCAGTTGAGCACAACCATTCAGCAGCTAAGCAAAATAGCACAAAAAGTTTACTGAGGAAGAAACAGACAAGAACACGGTAGGAAAATAAAAACAAAAAATGGAGCTTCACTAAAAATTTTCCTATTGCTATTCCACTGCGCTACAACACTCAAGTGTTCCCTGTGTAAATATCTTACAATCAGGCCTGGGAATGCAGCTCAGAAGTAAAGCACTTCACACCAGGCCCTGGTTTCCATCCTGGATCATACACACATATACATATACATTTCTGTATAACAAGACCAATATTTTGTCACAGAAATATTAGAACATGATGCAAGGAAAAAAAATCTTTTTAAGCATGCCAGTAATCCCAGCACTTGGGAGGCTGAGGCAGGAGGATTCCTGTAAGTTTCAGGCCCCTGGGCTAAAAGTTCAAGGATGGCCCAACTGCACACACAATGAAACCCTACCTCAAAAAGAATAAAAATTAAAAAATCTTTTTAAACACCTACATTCTCATGTGCTCAGAGACCATGAGTGTTAAATTTTGCACCAAAGGTTAGCCTACGATACAAGAACAAAAATAAAAAGCAACAAGATTAGAAAGTAAAACATTTTTTTATCACAGAAGATATTGCATATATTAACCCACCCCAAAGAATCTACTAAAAAAAAAAAAAACTAGTAAGGCTATTAAAAATGTTCAGCGAGTTATATTTAGAAGATGGGTAAGGCAATGATCCTGAGAATCTTCAGATTTTTGAATCTAGCACTTAATTGGAATGATTCTCACCCTGACTAACTATATATACAGATACCTGTGAACTAAGCAACTGCACTGAAAATGGCAATTTGTAATAGTAGGTTCATGCTTGGAGTGCCTGTCATTCTGGTCTTCAGAATACGGGCTGCTTGTCATGGCATGCCAGTTGCTGCCGTGCTGTCTCTCAGGTAGATGACTGTTTAAAAAGAAGGGGGTGTTGAATGAAGGCAGGAGACAGAAAACAAATGTTGCAGGACTGTCCTACTACAAGGTTGTATATGGTTAGATTTTTGGGCTTATGTGTAAACATAAGAAGTATATAATTCTTTATGCCTATTTTTAAAAATATATTCTAATTTCTTAAATGTTTTTTCCTCATATTCTGTAGGGACTTAAAGTTTAACATATCAATACTTGATGAAAAATACCTGTTCCATGTTATGCCTAAGATGTTTGATATGCAGACAGATAGTGAGGTTAAGCTTAACAGCCTGGGTTGCATGGTAATAACAATAAGTTTGTCTTCGGGAAGGTTAACAACCTAAGTTTGCAGACCAAAATTAGAGAAAAAGGAGGGCCGCAAAGAAAGCCAAACATTTTGGCTGTAGCCTTCCAAGGTCAATTAAGACTCAGGACATATGAGAACTTGTACTGTAACATCATGTAACTCAGTAGTGTTCCAAATTTTCTGATCAAGGAGATTATGGGGCCAAAGAGGAAAGTGATCAATGATGTAGAGTGTGCCTAAGGAGAGTCACATGGAGAGAAAACACTCTCTCAGGCTTTCACAGAGAGCACATTGGCCAAGCAATGGCCGTGACTCATCCACATGGCTGACACTGACAAAGGATCTACAATCTGAGG